TAGTTCTTCTCTTCTGCTATATTGCTATATGCCCTCTAGTTTTTCTGTTTGCCTTCTCAATTTAGCTCATAAGCTTGTGACTCAAACATTGTATGATAGATCGAAATTTTCATGTCACTTACGACTCTAGTCCTGCGACTCGGACGCAGCATATCACACCTCCAAGAATAAATACGGGAATATAGAGGTCAAACTACCAATCCAGCCTGGTGCGGCCCAAGGTTACCACCGGATCGAAAGACCTTCATGCTTCTTCCTCACAATCCGTCTTCTTAATTTCCTACCAAATTCCCGCAGACTGCCCGCGCACACCGCGGCATCACTGGCCGAGAATTCAGCAGTTAGCCAGCTGCTTGGGCGCAATTTCCCTATGTGCAGCCCCATAGAGCCAGCCCTGTTGGCGCTTGGTGCTTGGCGTGTTGCGGGTTTGCATATTTGACATTGCTACCCGGGTCATTTCGGACAACTATCAGATGGCTGCAGCTCCACAGTGAGGGATCAGATAACGAACAAAGTTTACACTCTGGCTTATCAGATCGAGGAGTTGCGTCTCCTGTTGCTCCACGCGGGTAGCAACACAAGCGCTAGAGTGCGAGTATACAGGGATCAGCGCTGTCATGTCAGTTAGTTAGGTGGTCGGGTGGGGGAGAGGATGACAACTGGTACGGAGTACTCCGTATAGTTAAATACTTTACTACCGCTGTACGGAGAGGTGCATGTTCAATTACTCCATACGGAGTGCATACTTTGTGGATACAGGCCTGGAAGTACGGTGTATGGAATAATTCCGTCATATTCATGCACAGGAAAACTTTGAATCGAAAATATACGAAAAACATAAAGCATCCTTTGTTGGCCCTGTCTTTGATATGTGGACAAGGAATGGCTGAAGAGAGCTCTGTGTTCTATCGTCCATATAGGCATGGAATTATCTGACTGAACCAATCAACTTGGGAATATCGGAGAAGGTGAGTAGCTATAGAATTAGGCTAGGATGTTGTAACCAGTAAACGCAAAACTGCCTGGATGGAGAAACGGTGATAAATTCAAACAATACTGTGAGAGCTTTTACGTCGAAATAGAAGCTAAGAAACTAACGAAGTAACTAGTGGGGCGAAAAAGGAACAAGACAGATGATATTGAAACAGAAAGGCGAAGGGGAGATGTTCTGATGTATGACCAGACCCAGGAAATTTCGATTGTGCTGGCATCAACTCACGGCGAACCCGACTCCTGCTTCTGCCTTACCAGGCTAATTTCCATTAGAAATCTGGGCACCAAATATCGCTTGAACAATCTCTGCGCCTCGGACTGCCAAAATTGATAGAAGACTGTCGCTAAGACCATGAGTAGATTCGTTGCATCCTTGCAGCCAGATCCCAGCATCAACATCCACCTGGTTCTTATCTAATTCTAGTCTGTAGTTTCTCTGGACCTTCCATCCCATGTGTTTTTGAGCCAGAAGAGGCTCAATGGAGGCAAGGATGCTTTCATGTGCGTTTCGCACGTAACCAGTTGCCAAAATCAGGGCATCCGCATTCATCTCCTCATTGTGGGTTCCGTTCATGGTGGTGTTTTCAGAGTGGCAGTGCTGCAATGATAGATTGAGTTTCTCGCTCTTATCTGAGTCGACCTTGGAGATCAAGCAGGAAGAGAAGATTCTGTGTTGCCATTGAGTCTCATCTGGGTATTGAATTTTCTGAATGTACATATCTGCGTAGATTTGTTCAATAAGCTCCGGCCTTACAACACTGTAGTTGGTAGAGCGGTGGCGGTCAAGAAAGTGCTGTCTCTCCTTCTCGCTCTGGTTGAAGAACTGGTCGACCCTCTCGGGGTTAAAGAGCTCATTGACACTGGGACTATGTTAGTAACTCCACATTGCCTAGTCACGAAATCTTGCTTTTACTTACAATGGGGAGTCGTCACTCGGGCGGAGGGCCGAGTCTCGCATGATAAGGCTGGTTTTAGCATTAGGATATCTTTTCTGAAGATCATGGAAAATCTCGGCTGCGCTCTGGCCGCTTCCCGCAACAGCAATGCTGTACTCCTTAAGGGTATTGTTAAGAAGGCTGGGAATGGTGGTGCAGTAGGCGGATGAATGAATGATTCTCGAGTTCGTTGGGAATTCCGCTGGAATATTTGGCTTTCCACCGATAGCAACAACTACGTGGCGGGCCTTGCGAGTGGTTATTTCGCCAGTCTCCAAGACCTTAGAGCGGACAGTGAAGAAGTGAACCTTGCCAGTCACAGGATCGACCTCTGAAGGAGTGACGTCGAGGACCTCGGTTCTGTACCTGACCAGGTTGGCAAATTTACTCGCACACCACTTCATGTAGTCTTCGAATTCAATACGGGCAGGGAGAAAGGTCCCGAGGTTGGCAAAATCAAGGAGGCGATCATGAACTTGTAGGTAGTTGAGAAAGGTAAACTCGCTTCTGGGGTTGCGGATGGTAGCCAGATCCTTGATGAAGGAGATTTGCATCTTTGACCCAGGAAGAAGCATGCCAGAATGCCACGCAAAGTTCGGCTGTTTCTCCAGAAAGCAGATTTTTGGGAGAGTGGTGATATCTAAGGAATGGGCAGTTTCAAGCAGGCGGTCGTGAAGAGCAATGGCTATGGCGAGTGATGCTGGGCCAAAGCCAACACAAATGAGGTCATTCAGCTCATCATCAGAGACAGAAGGCAGTAATGGGTGAGTCTGCGCTCTTGTAGATGATGTCGAGGTGGTTTCAGGCTGAAGTTCCAGCTTTGGTACGGGGTAGTTGGTTCCATTTGTGAACCCGTTGCCCATGGCAGAAGTACCATTCATGTATGGACTTAAAGGTTCAAGAGAGGGTGCCATTTCGTCCAGCAAAATGTATATATAGAAGCAATATCGGTAGTCGTACTAGATCGAATGCTTTCGTTTTGGGGATAACGATGGAAATGAAGAACTATTATTGCTGAACGATGCAAAGGATCAACTGTATATACTCGGAGCGGAAGATGGTTTATAAAATCAACTGGAGTAAAGACCGAAGAACCCCTGGAACATGCTTTCTATCTCCGTCGGTGCCTGCCCGCATGTCGCATCAGATAATCATCATTGACACGGGAAAGGAAAGTTTAGAGTTGACGAAATGGTTCCACCAGAAAAACCCTCGATGGGCTGAAAACGGAGCTGCCATGCAATTAATTTGCCCCAGGTGATGCAGGTAGCGAAGGCGCTTAGGCGAAGGTATAGCCACAGGGAGGGGGAGCAAAAAAAGAGCCGGGGACCTCCTGATCCTCAAGGTAGAGTTTGGGACACGGAACGGTGCTGCTGCTGACTATTTCCATAGGCTGTGTTTAGGAATCCCTGACAGGGTGCGTGCGTGTCAATCGAGAAAAACGGCACAGAGAAGGGGGAAATGGTCGCCCTCTCTTCCCATTGATGGCTCTATCTCTCTGTGAATGCGGAATGCATATTCCAAGGGGAGCGGACGGTTTGCGCTGCCCTCTGTTCGTATTTTCAACCCATCTTGCCCTCTTTCGTTTTTTCCTACCCTGCTACCTGCCTGCTCAGCTCAACTCTTCACGCTAACTTGTTTCTCCTTCGCTTGTTTGACGGGGATTGAAGTGGGCTGTGGGTGTTCAGTGGAGATATGCAGCGCTAAGTGTGGAATACTTAAGGGGCCACCGAAAGGTCGGATGTTGTTGACGTCGCACCGGAGTTTACAAATGTTCTTACTTATCAGATCGATAAGATTAGATCCGTGTTTGACCGACACGCTACGCTAGCCCGCATTTGGACATAATCACGTCTTCCTCCGACGCCGAAAAAAAGCAAACAAGAGACAAGAAACGACACTTCTTCCATCGAGGGCGCCAAACCAGGGGCAAACACAACCTCCGGTCAAAAAAGACGGCTCTCGACAAGACAAGGAGGGAATTCACTATCCAGTCGACGCTTGGCCAATCATCCAGCCATCAGCAGCCTCCAGGCCCGACCCTGACAGAGAGGGGCAGGTCTCTACTTACTTGGAGGCCAAGACCTATCGACACTCGGATATTGCCTGTCATGTCTTCTGCAAGGCATAGTTATCTCTGCGTTTCATAATTTTTTTGTTTTTCTCCCTGCTCTCAGAGCAAGCAAGAGGGGGCAGTTAACTGTATAACACGTAGGGTTCTCTTTTTGTTGCCGCAAGGCACACAGCAATGGTGCAAACCAAGATTGACTGCAATGCAGGTTCAGTCATTCTTCGCTCCAAAAAAATTTTTTTTTTCTTATTATTTCTTAATCTAAGGTTTCATCAGCTATTACTTAGACTCGGTTAGAGGTTGCTTGTTGGACCCGCGGGCTTAAGCTCGCCTGGTCCTCATTCCCCGAGCTGGATCCTTGCCGGGGCGGGACGGCGTTTTCGCGCCTTGTGCCTCGTATGGAACTCTGCTTCCTCTCCATCACTTCCTCGGCCGTTTCTCTCTTCTTGAACGCTGTGTTGAAGACGTCACGCGCTTAGTCGCACTATAGTTAAAGTGGGCATCTTTAATTACTTTTTCTTATCAATCTAACCGTCGAACTGATCAACTTTTTCTTGGGTATTTTGAAAGCATTTATATAGCCCGCCAACTCGGGGCTCTCAGCTATGTCGGCATTATAGCGGATTCTCATTTCTCTTCTCTTCCATTAATTGTTGAATCATGGATTCATTCCTCTGTGATCGATACACGCAGTTTCCCAGTCTCAACTATGGGACTGAGGCCGTCCCTTCGCAAGCCTCTGCTACTTGGAAGCTGGACAATATCATCGATCTCGACAGACTGATTCTCGCATGGGCGTCTATATTGAGTCGTTTGAGTGAAGAAGAATCCCCAGTCATCCAAATTGATGGAGCCGCCGCGAGAATACATCTAGAAGGTGGCCATATAGAGAGTGTCCAGATTGAAAAATCGGGCAATTCAGGTAGCCATACTGCAATAGTCACTTCGGATGTAAGGATCTTAACTCAACCCTTTCAACAAAAACAGTTTCCAGTATTAACCAAATTGATAGACCCCTATTACCAGCGAACGATGTCAGCTAGAAATCAGGTATACCCCGCACCAACTAAATGGGTCAATTACATCTAGAGGCTGTACCAGTGTCAGGTACCTGGATCAGCTTGCTAGAAATCTAGAGAGCCTTCTACGAGAGCCTCTACCCCTCTCAATAGTCAATCCAACGCCTTTGATCTTACCAGGCCCTCATCTTTTCCATGAAATGGTTCGTCACACTGGCAACGAGCCAGCAATTTCGTTTCTTAATGAAAGTGGCGAAGTAGAAGATTTAAGTTATGAGATGCTTCACTATCTCTCGGAGCAACTGGCGTCTCACCTGGTACACATCCTAGCCTCTCTTCCACCCCCAGGACAGCACGGAAAGATCATACCTGTGCTTCTCCCCCAATCACTAGACCTATATGTGGCGTGGTTGGCGATTTTAAAGGCCGGTGCCGCTGTTTGCCCATTAAACCTTGATACCCCGACGGAACGGCTTAATTTCATTGTTGGAGATGTCGATGCTCGCGTTGTCGTCACCAATGAGGGGCTTACCAGTGCCTTCCAAAATATCGAAACTTCAATCACTATAGTAAAAATGGAAGAGAGCAAGACCTTTGCGCCAGGCTGTCTTTCTGGCGTGGATGTTTGCAATGAAGATTTGGCATACGTCATGTATACTTCTGGCTCTACAGGACTGCCTAAAGGAGTGGGAATATCGCACCAGGCTGCTGTGCAAGCGTTGCTAGCACATGATGAAATAATCCCTGGCTTCAGGAGATTCCTTCAATTTGCAGCTCCTACATTTGATGTCTCTGTTTTTGAGATATTCTTCCCCCTTTTCAGGGGTGTTACCCTCGTGGGTTGTAACAGACGTTTGATGCTAAACGATCTCCCCGGTATCATCAACCAACTGAATGTTGACGCTGCTGAACTTACTCCAACAGTCTGTGGAGAACTTCTCCAATCTCGAGATGCTGTGCCGTGTCTTAAACTTTTGTTGACAATCGGCGAGATGTTGACAAGACATGTGGTCGACGAATTCGGTTCTTCGGAGGATAAACCTGGATTATTGCACGGAATGTATGGACCTACAGAAGCGACTATCCATTGCACTGCTGTCTCTTCAGTTCGTGCCGGCTCGCTTGTTGGAAACATTGGTACACCTTTCAAAACCGTCTCTGCTTTCATCATTTCTATGGACCACATCGTTGGTCAGGAACCAGTGATACTACCTGTTGGTCATGTCGGCGAGCTTGTGATTGGAGGTCCACAGCTTGCTAGGTACTACCTTAACCGGCCGACCGAGAATCGAAATGCTTTTATTGATTCTAAAACATATGGACGGTTATACAGGACCGGAGACAAGGCACGTCTACATCCCAATGGTGAACTCCAATGCATGGGTCGTATATCTACGGGACAGGTCAAACTTAGAGGTCAACGAATCGAGCTTGGGGAGATTGAGAACGTGCTCTTGAAAAATCAATACGTGAGAAACGCCGCCGCCTGTGTTATTCAGGGAGCTCTCGTTGCTTTCCTATCGGCGGACGTCGCACATTGTACTTCCAGAGATCTGCAGTTGACCTGCCGACGATCCCTGCCGAAATTTATGATCCCTGGGAACTTCGTCATCCTAAATAAGCTTCCTCGCCTCCCATCTGGTAAAATTGACAGGAAAGGTCTAGAGGCGGAATACATACTATCAAAGGGCGTCGATCAAACAGATCTAGCTGAGCCAGCAGGAGACATCGAACAGAAGATCTCCGTATCCCTCAACTTGCTTCTGGAGTCACCCATTACCCCAACAGCAAGCCTTGCGTCAGCCGGCCTTGATTCTCTAAGGGCTATTCACCTTGCATCCTCTTTACGGAAGGAGGGAGTCTTTCTGAACGCCTTGGATATCCTAGAAGCCGACTCTATCCGCAAGATGGCTGCCCTCGTCTTGAAGACACAACCTGAGATGACTATGATTCCCACTGAAAGTGAGCCATTAAAGATGTGGAATACGATCATCCAACAGGGGCACGAAATGTTGAAGCTTACTGAGAATTTACAGCAACCAACAGATATAATTCCATGCAGCCCAATACAGACTGGAATGCTTTTGGAAACGAAGTTAAATCCTAAGACATATTTTAATTCTGTTGAACTGCAGTTCGATCGTGGCATTTCTCTAGAAGGCGTTAAAAGTGCATTTATAAGCACTGCTCTACAAAACGAAGTTTTGAGATCAGGGTTTATTGAAATAGACTTTCCTGGATTCCCATACGCCCAGGTCGTTTGGGAGAGTCTTCATCCCGACCAAATCATAGAGTCGAAGATTTTTGACCATAACTTAGAGTTGCAGAACCAGTGGGATATATTGCATCCACTCAGAGTTCAACTCTGCGTCATTGATGGGCAACCCAAAGCTCTGGTTCATATCCATCATTCGTTGTATGATGGCTGGTCCTGGGATCAGATTATGTGGGACTTGGCCTCAGCACTTGAGAATAAACAAATAACTCAGCGGCCACAATACCGACTCTTCACCCTTTTCCACATAAATAATCATTCCTCCGAAATTCGCGAGCAAGCTTTAAATTATTGGCAGTCTCATCTCCAGGGCTCTACACCTTGTCTGTGGCCTAATTTTCAAGATAGATCTGATCTTCCAAAAGTCACCCAGGTTATTGAGCGTCAGTTCAATATTGACATAGACCAGCTTGATTCTTTCGTTCGGGATTTCCGAATAGGTCGACAAATCATATTCCAGGCAGCCATTGGATATCTACTTTCGGCATACAATGGTACTTCGGATATTATCCTTGGGAACGTATCTGCTGGCCGTACCCTTCCTATAGATGGCATTGAAAGCATTGTGGGACCGTGCATCTCGACGCTTCCTCTAAGACTTAATCTCCAAAAAGCTCGAACTGTCCGTGATCTACTTGCAATTCTTCATGGGTTGAATAGAAAGTCTCTTGTTCACGGATTTGTTCCCCTTCGAGACGTAAAACAAGTCTCCGGAATTAATACGGCTGATCAGTTATTTGATACCCTTTTTGTTTGGCAAGATAGCTTCACCACTATCTGTGGACCAATAGCCCAGGTCGCGTCGAGGGATTTCCTTGAGTTCACATTGACTACTGAACTGGGAATTCAAGATGGCAAAATCCGAGCAAAGGCGACTTTCGAAGAATCGATCCTCCCGGAAAGCCACGTAGTGATATTTTTGAAACAAATCGAAAGTATAGCCATGACTTTCCTTGAGTCTGCCGATAGGCTATTAGAGGACATTCCATCCCATCTTCCGAAGTCTCTGCTTTCAATGGAGAATACTCTTCCACCGCCCTTGAAATATGTTCCTGGTCTATCTGAGTCGGTTGAAGAGCTCGCAAAAATAGACTCAGAGAGGATTGCTGTCGAATTTCTAGATTCTTTAGACCCGGAAACAGGAGATAAAGCTATAAAAACACTGACATATTCGGAATTGGATGCACAATCCAACAAGCTTGCTAGTCAACTCCGGAATCTTGGCGTTGTTGAAGGTAATTTGGTTGCAATATGCCTCGAGAAATCACTTGAGCTTTACATCTCTATTCTCGCTGTCATCAAATCAGGAGCTGGATATGTGCCCATGACACCACAAACGCCCATAAATCGAGTGAAGCACATTATTCAAGAAGCAAGCTGCCGCATTTGCATTGCCGATAGTGAAATTCTGGTCCAACTATCAGATCTCCCAAACACTAGGACAATACTGGCCAAAAACCAAATGTTGATGCAGAATGCTCTATATGAGTTTCCAAAAGCTCCTGGATCTTCCCCTGCATACGCAGTATTCACATCTGGGACCACTGGTACGCCAAAGGGCGTCCTTATTTCACGTTTTAACCTGGAGAGTAACATTGCTGTTTTGTCGGCACTATATCCTGATTTTCCTGAATCAAGATTGCTTCAAGCATGTTCTCATGCTTTTGATGGTGAGCCGACCCATTTCATCCCACATATTACATCTACTAACAAATTCAAGTCTCTGTGTTTGAAATATTTTTTGCCTGGAGCAGAGGAATGACCTTATGTTCTGCAAAGAACGATGTATTGTTCAGGGACATTGAACACGCAATTCGCATCTTGCGGATTACTCACCTTAGCATGACTCCAACCGTTGCTGCTCTTGTGAGAGCGAATAACGTGCCGCTGGTTAAATTTCTTGTCACTGCCGGTGAAGCACTGACACCAAAAGTTCTGATGGATTGGGCGGGGAAAGGCCTATGGCAAGGTAAATAATTTCTATAAAACAAAACAAGTAAATACATGGAGTGAGTGAGACCCTAACCAATATGTCTTTAGGCTACGGTCCAAGCGAAACCACCAATATTTGCACGGTTAAACCCAACGTAGGTATGTCCCACTTTACCAGCAATATAGGGAGACCACTTCCGAACACGTCTGCGTTCGTACTCGCGGAAGGAGAACGGTTTTCTCTTGTCCCACGAGGAGCCATAGGTGAGCTTTGTTTTGGTGGGGATCAAGTGGTAAGTGCATTTCAGAACAGGAATGTAACAACTACTCAAATTAACATTTGATTAGGGTATTGGATATTTGAACATGGAAGACCTCACACGACAGAAGTTTTTAGTCCATGAAAAATATGGGCGGATTTACAAAAGTGGCGACTATGGAAGACTCCTCCCTGATGGCTCAATTGCCTTTGTAGGTCGCCGCGATGACCTAGTAAAAATTCGAGGCCAGCGCATTGAACTGGGCGAAATTACTAGTATTTTGATGACCCATGAAAGTGTTAAGGATTGCGCAACGATCTTGTGTGATTCCAACAATGGAGACTGTGGAGACAGCAAACAGTTGATATCGTTTTGGGTCCCTGAAAATATCAATATCGACGGACTTGGGCAGCATGAAAATTCTCATATTTTCCAGCAACTTTTTGACTATATAGGCGATCATTTGCCTAGTTATATGATCCCATCCTTCCTCATACCAATAAGTCATATTCCCATGACAACCGTCGGAAGAAAGATTGATAAGGAAGCCTTGAAGTATATGTACTTAAGCGCTAATCCAACGCTTCTTGATGTGTATTCGCGTGGGGAGAAAGAAGAACATACCCAGGAAAATCTGACTGACAATGAAGCGAAGGTCGCGGAACTTGTTGCACAAGTTACGGGAGTCTCGACGAAAGAAATAGGGCGACATACCTCCTTTTACCGACTAGGTTTTGACTCGGTGATAGCAATCGCTTTCTCCAGGGAACTAAAACTTGCCGGTTTCGGGCAGATTGACATCTCTGTTATTATGAAAAATGATTCCATCACTCGACTTACGAGGAAGATGTCGCAGAATACTGAAGCCCAGATGCCAGGCTTAGAATCCATTCCAGCATTTAATCATCTCTTCAGTCCAGGCCTAATAAGCAAAATCAAGGATGAAGCTTCTGCGCATGGGGTCAACGTCACCAAAATTTTGCCGTGTACTTCGTTACAAGAAGGCATGCTTTCTGGCATATCCACCGGCAATGATGCGTCATACTACAACCATTTGGTTTTCGAAATCAACATGAACATCGAGCTCTTAAAGATGGCCTGGATGAAAATGGTTGCGAGGCATGACATTCTAAGAACTTGGTTCCAGCAAACTGATGACGCTCGGTTTCCATTCGTTCAAGTCGTTCTGGAGCGGCTTGATATTGCATGGCGATCAATTGAATGCCCAATCGCCGATGCACCCTCGACCCTGGAAAGAAGCAAGCTCTCAGTCGCTGTCAAAGAGGGGCCGCATTCACTCTATTCGTTTACTGTATTACAGTGTGTTGATTCTCCAAAGGTTTTCCTACTCTTATCAATACACCATGCTCTATACGATGGTGAAGCAATGGAAGTCCTCTTGCAAGAGGTCCAAGATTGCGTGCTTGAGCATCAACTTCCACCTGTCGTCCCTTTTGATCTCTATCTTCACGAGATGATCGATGTCAACAGTGATTCAACAGACCAGTTCTGGAGCAATTACCTGAAGGACTTTACTCCTACCTTATTCACATCACCCTCCTCTCTAGTTAAGGGAAGCCCGAAAATGAATCGATCGACTTCCCACATACCTAGCTCAAGCTTTACTGAGGTTTGCAATGCATGCAAGAGCTCGTCTGTAACCACCCTGAGTTTACTACAGGCAGCCTGGAGTAGACTGATATGCTTACTCTCCGGTTCTCCTGATATCTGCTTTGGAGATGTGGTAAATTGCAGGGGTATACCTATCGATGGGGCCGAAAGAATAGTCGGCCCATGCTTCAACACGTTGCCCGTGAGAACAAGCTTGAACGGGAATATGACAAACATAGACTTGATGAGGAACTTGCAATTTAACAGAGCATCCACTCTTCCCTATCAACTCAGTTCAATGAGGCGAATTCAGTCGCGCTTCAGTCAACGAGGCCAGAGGATTTTCGATTCATTGCTCCTGCTACAAGGAAGGCCCCTTCAGTTGAACGAGTCTCTATGGAGGATGGTATCCGAGAATGGTGTAATGGACTTCCCTATTATATTTGAAGTCGTACCCAACCCCGAAAGTGATTCTATGCAGTTCATTTTCCACTTTGACGAGGGTCTTGTGCCGACAACGGATATAGATATCATCATTGCAAGTTACCATGCTATTCTAACCCATACACTTCGCTTCCCGGAGGCTAGGGCAATGGATTTCTCTCTCGTTGAATCTGAGGGACAAGTTCCTGGAGGCCTCAGTGTCTTCAGAAAAATAGGGGAAGGAAATAGAGATCATAAGACCAATGGATATGACGAATCCGAGGAATGGGGTGAAGGATGTCTAGAAATTCGAGATCTGCTTTCAGCAATGTCAAAAATTGATAAAAAGCGTATCAACATGGATACGACTATTTTTGAGCTGGGACTTGACAGTATCAATGCTATTCAGATAGCTGGACATTTTAGAAAAGTCGGCTACGAAATTTCAGCGGCTGATATTCTAGAGGTGAGTTTTCCAATAGTATAAACGTCATACCATTGTCTAGCCTGACACTATCTAGGGGCCTTCAATTCGAGATATTGCATTGGTCCTGCAAGGTTCAAAAGCAAACGACTGCGTCGGCCTAACGCTTGATAGCTTTGACTTCAATAGCTTCCAATCATTGCATTTATCCTCTATCTGCGATAAGTTAGGATTATTGGAAAGTAATATTGAAGCTATCCGACCTTGCACACCGCCGCAAGCAGGTATGCTTGCCTCGTTCATAAACTCAGAGGGCTTGCTTTATTTCAACAGCCTTACGCTGAAATCTCCGGCACCATTGAATCTGATTGCTCTAAGATTTGTATGGGAAAGCGTCATGGAGAGAAACGAGATGCTGAGAACTGGATTCTGTGACGTGAAGGACGACATATTCCCATTCGCGATGGTGACATATCGCCCGGGAGTTATCGAATTACCCTGGAATGAGTGTCTTTCCCCTTCTAAGAGCATATCAGACGCGAGACGTGAACAACACCTTAATGGCAAGAGTATATTGAATCAACTCCACCACCCGCCGTGGTTCCTTACCGTTAAACCTTGCAGTGGCTCCACGCTCATGCAACTTTCAGCCCATCACGCTCTCTACGACGCTCATTCAATGAACCTTATACTCTCAGAAGTGATAAATGTTTATAATGGATCTACCTTACCGCCAGCGATTCCGGTGTCTTCGGTCCTGGGTTACATTGTCGAGAAGTTTCAATCCCCTGAATCAGAGAGTTATTGGAGCGAGGTGGGCCCTTCGTTCAGTGCTACGAAATTCCCAGACATGAATCCTCTCCATGCTAAGGTAAACGATACCCGTTTCCTTTCCCGAGACTGTTCGTTTACCATGGAGAAACTACAAGAAGGCTGCCGTGAGCTTGGAGTTACCTTACAAGCCGTTGGTCAGGCTGCATGGTCTCGAATTCTCTCGTCATACCTGGGAGAGTCTACTGTTACATATGGCTTGGTACTCTCTGGTCGAGATATCTCTGAACAAGCTCAGGATACTGCATTCCCCTGTATTACGACAGTGCCAGCTCAGCAAAACGTGGAAGCAACGAATCGGGAACTGCTTCAGCAGATCATGAAATCCAATGCCATGGCTGTGAAATATCAATTTACGTCACTGGCAAAGATTCAGCGTCTGAGTAAAGCAGACTCCCCACTCTTCGATACTCTTTTCGTTTTCCAAAAGCTGGCCTCCACGGATAAACAAAACACCCTCTGGGATGTAGTTGAAGAAAACAGTCAGACTGAAGTAAGTGGAAGGAGCGAAAACGGGATATGCGTCATGCTAACAGATATAGTATTCTGTGTCTCTTGAGCTGATCCCGAGTAACGATACTCTCAAGCTTGCTGTGACCTATCAAAATCACATTCTACCTGACGGCCAGGCCTCCTTGCTCCTTGATGAACTTGATTGGTTGCTGACTGATATTCTACAATACCCTGATTCAACTTCTTCTTCCCTCGACACTGCAAGCCGCTCCATTGTGTCTGTTTTACCAAGAAAGGATACTAAAATTGATTGCCCAACTCAACTTTTACATCAGTTTGTAGAAGTTGGAGCAACTAGGCATCCATCTAAGGTGGCACTCGAATTTGCGGAGAGAGTCAATGGCAAACTAACTACCCAGAGCTGGACTTACAAAGATTTAGATGAACAAGGAAATAGATACGCAAACCTACTTCACCATCTCGGTGTGAAACAAGGAACTTTGGTTGGAGTTTCCTTTCAGAAATGTCCAGAGGCTTACTTCTCAATACTTGGAGTCCTCAAAGTTGGCTGTGCATTCTTAGCGATTGATCCCAGTGCTCCAATCGCTCGAAAACAATTTATATTGGAAGATTCGAAAGCAGATGTCCTCATGTGCGGGATGGGACAGCAAAATGAGTTAAAAAATCTGACTGGCATAAGGCTGGTCGTGGTAAATGAAGAGGGTCTACTGAACGGAGTGGACTCGACACCTCCAACACTAAGCTTCCCGATTCACGGTGATGAAACCTGCTATTGCTTGTATACCTCAGGAAGCACAGGTACACCGAAAGGTTGCGAGATAACTCATGACAATGCTGTGCAAGCCATGCTTTCATTTCAAAGATTGTTTGGAGGACATTGGGATGAATCGTCTCGGTGGTTCCAGTTTGCTTCATTCCACTTCGATGTCAGCGTTCTTGAGCAATACTGGACGTGGAGTGTAGGAATATGTCTAACATCTTGCCCTAGAGATACTCTCTTTGAAGACTTTGCGGGAACCCTTCGTGACTTGTCTATCACACACATTGATTTGACTCCTAGCCTCGCACAGTTAATACACCCTGAGGATGTCCCATCCCTTTGCCGTGGTGTTTTTATCACAGGGGGCGAAAAGCTAAAGCAAGAGATCCTTGAACATTGGGGCCCTCATGAGGTCATTTACAATGGATATGGGCCAACCGAAGTCACAATCGGTTGTACAATGCTTCCACGGGTCACTTCTTCGGATAAGCCGACTAATATTGGTCCGCAATTTGATAATGTCAGTGGTTATGTCTTCAAACAGGGTACCAATACACCCGTTTTACGTGGTGGTATCGGAGAACTTTGTGTGTCTGGCCCACTTGTTGGCAAAGGTTATCTGAACAGACCACAATTGACAGCAGAAAAGTTCCAATATATTGAGACATATGGAGAAAGAGTTTACCGAACTGGTGATTTAGTACGCATGATGCATGATGGAAGTTTCTGCTTCCTTGGACGTATTGATGACCAAGTGAAGCTTCGAGGTCAGAGACTTGAAATCAATGAGATAAACCATGTGATAAAAAATTCCACAGAGGGAGTGGGAGATGTGGTGACAATGGTACTCAAACATCCCACTGCAACTAAGGAGCAAATAGTGTCTTTCACCACTGTCCTTACTTCTGCTTCCACAGCTTCCTGTCCAGAAGTTGACTTCAGCCCTGAGGCTGGCAGAGTTTTGGAAGCCATCCGCTTGGAATGCCGGTCACATTTACCAGGGTACATGATCCCGACTCATATTATCCCGTTAACGAAGTTTCCGTTATCATCTAACAACAAAATTGATAACGGTCAATTGAGAGGAATATTTGCGTCGATGGTACTGAGCGAAATGCAGACATTGTCCAGTCATGAGCAGGAAAGCCCAACCGAAGACACGGATACAATCAGGGCGATAATTCCTATATTGTCTAGATTTACGAAGGTCGAGGAGAAGACAATCTCATCATCTTCAAACATCTTCGAATTGGGCCTGGACTCTATCTTGGTGATATCCTTCTCTCGGGCGCTACGGGAAGCTGGCTTTCCAGCTGCCCACCCATCAGTTGTGATGAAATGTAAGTTTGTTCCGTGTTGAGAATATGGGTGGATTGTGCTGATCCTTTTTTAGGCTCAACTATTTCGCTACTAGCTAAGGCTATTGAATCTCCTGATAACAATGGTGAAGGCGAGAGGCGCCAGTATGAGGATGCAAGGCAAAAAATAGCAGCATTTGCTCATATGCATATGTCACACGTGGCAAACGAACTAGAAGTTGCTCCACAGGATATCGAAGCCATCACTCCATGCACATCATTGCAAGATGGCATGCTGTACCAATGTCTGAGGAATGAATCTCACCCTTACTTGACATCATTCAAGTTTCAGCTTGCACCGCACACCGACATACCGATGCTTAAGGAGGCTTGGAAACGAGCACAAGTTTCGTTCCAGTTGCTACGTACAAACTTCCCTCTTACAGATGATGGATACGCTCTCGTTGTCCTTAAGGAGGCAGCCCTACCGTGGTTCGAATTTGTAATATCAAAGGACGATGAACTTGAAAGTACAGCTGAGAGCCACTTCAAGAAGTGGAACCTTGGTTTCAATAATTTCATGAGCCGAGTCTGGGAAATCGGTATCGTCTCCAGCCCAAAACGCAGATGGATGTGCCTGAATATATTCCACGGTTTATACGACGGTGTCAGTCTCCCAATCATCCTTGATGCAGTGAAAAACGAATACAATAGCGGACAAATACCGAGGTCTATGCCATTCACCGAAGTACTGCCTCTTGGCCCACTTCGTACTGTGCCTGCTGCTAAATCGTTCTGGGTCAAACATCTCGAGGACCTGAGCCAAACGACAATACCACGGATACCGCTCCCCGAACCTGGGTCCAGAACTTTGACAATTCGGATTGAAGGCTTCCATGGCATTGAGGAAACAAGGAGATCACTAGGCGTTACGGAACAAGCAATGTTTCATGCTTGCTGGGTGTATACGTTCGAGAGGTACTTTAGTTACACCCCGACTATGGGCATTGTGGTTTCCGGAAGATCATTCGACTCAGAAGACGCTAATACTGCGGTTGGGCCTTTGTTTAACACTATTCCTTGCAATATTCCGAAGTCCGGTTTCTCGACCTTTTCTGGACTTGTGAAAGCTTGCCATGACTACTCTGTCTCTGCCCTTCCTTTCCAGCATACGCCGCTGAGATCAATAATGAAATGGATCGGTCGAAGTTCCCAGAGACCTCTGTTTGACGTACTCTTTGTTTTCCAGAAACAAGAAAACACCACCTCTCAATCAGGGGAGTCGTTATGGGAACCTGTGGCATCCTTCGCAGAAGCTGATTACCCCCTTGCCCTAGAAGTGCAGAGTCAAGGAAGTGGATCTTTCCAGGTGACGGCCGCGTGTCAAGGAGATATCTTGACTTCTGATGGTATTTCCGACTTACTCGAAAATTTCAAGCTATCTTTACGTATCTTTGTGGAAGAACCATTCTCGAATCTTGGCTTTTCAGGAGATTCAACCTCCTTGGAGGCTTCGTCGAAGCAGCTTGCCAACAAAGTCATTGGGGACCCTTCACCCAACGGCACTGCCTCGTTTCAATGGAGTCAAGCAGCTTCATTGCTGAGGCAAGAGATTGCTAAATTAGCAAACCTCGATGTGTCGGAAATAAATGAGGACTCCTCAATCCTTGAAGTTGGCTTGGATAGCATAGATGCCATCAAACTCTCCTCTCGCCTGAAGCGTGACCACATAGATTTGTCCGTGGGCAATATCATGCGAAATAGGACTATTCGAACCATGATGGCCGAGGTTACAGTGAATGGCAGTGCCACTAAAGCCGACCTGACTTACTTGAAATCTTTAGAGAGTCAATTACGACGGTCTCTGGAAGAAGATGGGAAAGACCTGGGAGATATTGAACATATCTATCCGGCGACACCCTTGCAGGAAGGCATGATCAATGAAATGTTATCATCTGATGGCCTTCACTATTTCAACCATGACATCCTGCAGATCAACGAAGATGTGGACGTCACCATGTTGAAGAATGCATGGGAAACTATCGCGAAACGTCACCCAATCTTGCGGACTTCCTTTGCCACGGTGCCTGACCCAAATTTGCCTTTCTCTTATGCACAACTCATTCACAAATCAAGCATCAAAATTGACTGGAATATTGTTGATGTTGCAGAAAATTCCATTGAATCAATTATTCAAGAGGAGCGAGCAAGGGCATTGTCACTGGTAATGTCAAAACCACTATTCAACTTACGCCTCATTCGAGATAGAGCCAAACTGCTTCTTATCCTTTCTCTGCCTCATGCCATGTACGATGGATGGTCACTCACCCTTCTCCATCAAGACGTAGCGAGCGCCTACTCAGGCCAATTTAGCGCACGCCCATCCTATCAACATGTCCTTGAAGCTATCATCAGTTCATCCAGAGATGAAGGTCTGCAGTTCTGGAAAGGCGTACTCTCGGATGCAGAGCCGAGTATATTTCCCCCACAGCCAGGTGCTGGTGGTCAAGGAGCGCTGGTGCACCGTGACGAGACTGCCTCCGATATACCACTCTCGCATGTGTTGGACTTTTGCAAGGCCCACGGCGTTACAGCCCAAGCTCTTGGTCTTACATGTTGGACCATTGTCCTTGCCAGCTACCTGGGACAATTGGACGTTCTATTCGGCACAGTGATGCTTGGACGAGACACAGAAGAAGCTTCAAAAATTGCTTTCCCAACAATGAATACCGTTGCCGTCCGTGGAATCCTACACGGTTCTGTGTCCGAGATGTTAGAATACGTGCAGAGGAATCTGGGTAACATGTTGGCGCATCAACACTACCCACTACGAAAGATCAAGTCTATGATGGGAGTAGGAAATAAGGATCTTTTCGATACCCTTTTCATCTACCAGAAGAGCCCTAGTTCGCAGGAAAGTCAAGATAAGCCTCTCTATAAATCGATTAACAGCTCATCGAGTGTGGAGTATTCCATCTGTGTCGAACTAGAGGCTATTGATGACTCCGCTGTATGGCGTGTTGCCTGCAAAGATACCATTTTAAGCAAGAAAGATACCAGTCAACTTGTTTTGCAGCTGTTGCAAGTATTCAAAGCTATTATTCAATCACCAGAGATGTCCACTGCAGACTTCGTAGAGGTTAGAGAACGGCCAACCCTTGATAGTGTGACTCAAAACGGTGGTTCTTTACCTGACGGGCCCAGTGGTATCGCCATTGAGCCCGTAGTGTGGTCACTACTGGAAGACAGGATCAGGGATACCTTGTCACTAGTTGCTGCTGTACCAAAGGAGGAGATCACCAGGAATACCACCATCTTCCATTTCGGTATTGACAGCATCAGCGCTATCAAGGTCTCTTCATTACTCAGACGGCAGTCTGTGCTCATCTCTGTTAGGGATATACTGCGAGCGGAGACTGTTGGAAAAATGGCGGAGATAGTCAATTCTGCGCAGGAGAAGAAGCCAACAACTGCAACTTCAAGAGAAAAACTTTTGTCACCGCAAACGCTGAGGAATAGCAACATCGACCTACAGCTGGGGAAGTATGGTATGAAGCGAGAAGATGTTGAGGCCTTCCTCCCGGCTACGGCAGGGCAGATTTACATGCTGGAGACCTGGAAGAACTCGCATGGAAAGCTCTTCTTCCCAGACTTCTTCTACAGGGTTACTGGCCGCATCACTCAGAGCCAGCTAGACAGCGCATGGAAAGTGATGACTGCCAAACTACCGATACTTCGTACAACAATACTCTCTATTGGTGATACCGACATGCCTTATGTACTGGCTGAGCTGAAGCAAGCTAGTAATCCGATAATCTGGAGATCCGATCTGAGGGTTAAGTCGAATCGTCGCCATGTCGCGGCCAGACAGGGCTCTGGACTTGTCTATCTATATGCTTCTCAAACTGAGACGGAGACTTTGCTGATGCTACATATCCACCATGCCCTTTATGATGCAGTGGTGCTTCAGCATCTTATCAATATACTTGAGTCACTATGCCAGGGTGTGTCTACCCCGGTAAGTACGCCAGTAGACATTGCAGAGTTTATACAGTACGGCAAGGCTATGTCTTCTGAAGCCCAGCAGGAGGCATTCTGGAGGGGCTATCTAGGAAGTGATACTACTCCGGTTGCCCAAAATGCTTCTGGGCCTGTGATGGACGTCCAAGCCGGGGCAGGAAAGTACCAGCCAGGTCTCCTGGACAATACCGACTGGCTGAACAAGATCTGCCAGGCAGAAGGATTATCAGTGCAGGCCGTGTTCCTGGCAGCCTACTCCAAGGTACATGTGAGAGAGTTCCATGTCCGAGGAGCAGACTTGACGGTTGGTGTATATCTGGCCAACCGCTCCCACGACCTGGTGGGCCTTCCAGAGCTTGTGGCGCCAACACTGAACATTGTACCACTCCGCATCCAAGATCCAGGGTCTCGCTCCGTGTTCGAGCTAGCGCGCATCATCCAGAGTGACCTGCATGAAATCGGTTCTGCCGAGAACTGCACCGTGTCGCTGGCCCAGATAGCGGAGTGGACAGGAATCAGGCTCGATACGACAGTGAACTTCATCAAGTTACCGGAGGTGGTGGCACAGGTATCAACAGCGACGACCGGTGCCCCGCAACTAGTTCAGGTTACAGAGGAAGAGGTGCTCAAGTGGCAGAGCAAGGAAAGCTGCAACAGCAACGGCAGTGAGCAAGTGGATGTGGCGGCAAAGGGCAGCAGCAGCAAGCTTTGGCTGGAAGAGATGCTTGGAATAGAGAGTGGAGTTGGATTGGAGAACGCGGGAGATGTTTACAAGGTAAGCCCCCCAGGGTCCCAATTATCCCAGGATTCCCCTGAAAAGCAGGAGGCTAATAACAAGCCATCTCCACAGCCGTCCGTGGATATCGAGGCAGCGGTTAGAAACAACACGCTGGATGTCGGGGTGTTTGGCCCCAGCAGCGACAAGGCTTTGGGGGTGCTGGACGGAGTCCGGCGTGAGCTCCTTGCCCTGCAGACGTCCAGCGCCAGGTGAGACGCTGCCTGCTTCATCGAGGGGCCGGTTGATGCAGGGCGTTGGCCGTCCGTCGTCCTCCATGCTGCGGTACGCTATAAAAAGAATGCAGGTACGGCGTTGCGCCCACGGTTATCCATGTAAATAGAGTTAGCGCCCTCCACAGAACATACTTGTACTCCATTTATATATAAGTGTATATATATATAGACTGTGTCGATTTAGTTTATTGATAGATCCTATCTTTTTCTTTTCCTTCTTCTCCTTGCGACTCTCGTGCCCTTATGCTGCTGTCGCTGTCTTCGGCCGCCTCGCCGCTTCCATCTAATCTCATCTAATCTCATCTTATCTTATCTCTCTTTGTTTGTTTGTCTTGTTTGTCTTGTTTGTTGTCTTTTTTCCCAAAGCAGGCTAGCCCTGCTGACTCATCATTTTCCGTCACGAGATTTTCCACGCTAAACCCAACCAGGAAATCATAACAACAACGCGTAGAATCGCGTGAGGGAGAAAAAAAAAAAAAAAGGCTTTTTTTCTTTATCTTTCGAACTTCAACATCGTCAAATCAACCACAATCAAACAACATCGCCAACCTCCGCTGCGTCCCTCGAGCCGCCACCACGACACGACACGCCCAGCGACAGCCATCAACCACCACAACACCAGCATAGCACCCGTTAATTCAGCTGCTGGTATCTGGCATCGCGTTGGCCTGCGACTCGCATTTCCCCCCTTTTTTTTGTTGTCGCTCCTTAAAAACCTCCTTCTGACAGCGTGGATAACGACTCAGCCCGGTCTCCCGCCAGCCAACTCAGCACCACGTCTGTCGCGATCGGCCGCCAGCAAGTCAAGTTTCATCAGCCAGGTCGCCTTACACTCGTTCAGCCTTGATAAAGTGGCCAGCAGAGACGTCTTGTCGAGCATGAGTATCGGTGCTGACTCGCGCGCTGGAGTTGATACATAGGCGTTGCTGATGGAAGTTACGCCGGCACTCTAGGCCTGTCTCTCGCTATCTGTCTGTCTGTCTGCCTGTCAGCCGGCAACTCGCAAGCCACTTGTGAATAACAACCTCTTTTTCCTTTTACTATAAACGCGGACTGTGAGCCTCTTCACTGTGGTCTGTTATCAATAAAGATCACCTGTCTGTGACGCGCGGAGGGGGAGGAGATTCATACCAGGCGCGATAAGGAAGCCTTGTTATTTCTCCCTGTGTGGCCTCAAGACAGGACTCATCATCCACTACCAGCCCACCCAGAAATCCTGTTTAAGTGAAAGAAAGTGTGTGAGTGAGAGCCAGCATTCACTTCACTTGCAGTTTATCGGCCTGGAGCAATGGTGGCCTCGTTCTCTCCTCACCGTGATGCTGGAGGCACTCTGCACCTCTCCACCAGCAGTTTTCATGCCACACACAAGAACTCGGCCCTGAGTCAACTTCGACGCTCGCTATCGAGGAGTCCGTCCAAGACAACGGACTTCAGATTGCTCTCTCCATCCACGTTCAACTCACCGGCAACCAGGCACCCAAATTTCACTTCGTCCAATCTCTCACCTTCTAAACAGACCTCCCACGGCAAAATTCTTTTCGTTCCTAACCCAAACACTCCGTCTCCCGTGGCTATTCCTTTCCCTCCCAGTGCAAAAATCCACCGTCCTCCTATGCGCCGGAGTCGTTTCATGCATTCCTCCAAGACTAGTAGTTCCTCCGGCTCAGCAAAACGGGTACTGGGTGAGTCTAGAGATAACGGAAACTCGGCTGCTTCTCCAGAACCCCCCACCATCGACGCCATGGATGAAAAGGTTTCTACCACGCCACCGAGCCCAGTGCTCTTCAGAGGCGGCCAGGAGAGCCCCCTCATTCTATCCTCCCCCATCGAGCAACATTCAGAAGATACCTCTGCTGGACGAGAGAAACGCCGAAGTGGGAACATGGAATCAACGACACCACTCTCCTCCAGCCCCTTAAAACGGGCAGATGTCAACATGACGATGGATTCCCTCGGTGCTGAGAGTCCTTCAGCCAAGCGTAGAAGCTTGCATGGTGTTAGCTTTGGCGCCGATTTTGACGTCTTCGAGTCCAGCTACTCAGCAATCAATTCTCCCCTAAACAACCAGAACCCAAAGGAGCCTCGGCTCCAACCACCGGGCCACTATTTCTCTACCATACCAAAACGTTCTTCCTCGTTGAGGCGATCTACCATCCAGCAACGACATCCGGAGCGGTCTCCCTTTGTTCGGAAGATAAGCGCGGATAATGATGGATCGCTTCAGCTACAGAACAAGAATCGCATGGCAATCGACAATTCGACTTTCCTTCCCCTCAATGGACCAGACTCTTCTCCATCTCCGAATCCATCTACGTCTCTGTTCACAGCTCCTTCGTCATCTACTTTCCACCCTCCTACTCATCCTCTCTCTCGCACTATTACGCAATCCTCGTCCAGCTCAAGCGTCGGGGATGACTCTCCCACCAACAGAGCTCTAAGCTCAAATTTCTCGGAAGCCAGGCCCATCCTTAACTTTTCCAAGTCTCTGCCAATTGGTGCTGTAGCACCAAGGGCTCCCAGTCTTCTACGACAGGAATCTTCCAATGCCTCAGCTTCTCCCTTTTCCACACCGGAAAACTACAAGCTTGTGAAACCATTGCCTGCGGCTTTCATGTCCACCGGTCTGATTTCGAAGAAAAACAAGAATGTCTCGGACTTCCGTAACAGCTCGACTATGAGCCACAACATGCCCGAGACTCCTTGCAAACGCGCATCAAATGTACTTTTTGGACCCAAGCCTCTGCACCAAGCCAACAGCGCAAAATTCCTTCCTTACCACAAGTCTTCCAGCTCCTTTGAGACCCCCTTCACTCATCGTGTCAAGGCTCCCTCTTCCCGTGTCGTTTCAACCTCCTCCCGCCGTGGGAGTCTAGCTAGTATCGATGGTGATATTAGCTCTATTCCACGATCACCATCGGCCCCTTTTGACAGCCAATGTGCCACAGACTCAGATCTTCCTCCCACACCCACCAGGCGAGGCCTCTTCCCTCAACACGTCTCCAATTCCGCCCCATTCCAATTCCAAGCTGCAAGTCAACCAAACTCCGATGCCAACAGAGGCGAATCCGGTTTATTTTGTAAGATAGACCCCTCTCCCTCCGGTCCTTTTGATTTCTTTTTCAATATCGCATTCAATCTTACATTGTATACTAATGGATCGTTATTTCAGCGAGCCCGTTCTACTGTAAAACGCCAGAGTCTGGGCCTCCAAGAACACCACGAGATCATACTTTGACTCCCGATGCCAGTAATCTTTCGATCACAGCTCCTGATGATCACACCTTCAGTCTTGTAGAGTCAAATGCCTCAGCTCTACCTGCAACTCCCACCGCTCCCCGTGAATCGTTTCCAAATCTCGGGAAACGAACTAGCTTCCCTCTTGGCGGCTATAATTCCCCTGATATTGACCCGTGCCTAAACTCACGCTTTGACAAAGTGGAGCTCATTGGTACCGGTGAATTTTCCCTCGTCTACTCAGTCTCAGAGCGTGTTTCTCCACCATCATCAAGTCAACTCTTCCAGTCTCAGACGCCCCTCTCGTCTAACTCGACCCCTACCAATACCGGCAGCCGGAAGTTATGGGCTGTCAAGAAGTCTAAACAGCCATATGCTGGATCCAAGGACCGAGAAAGACGAAATAATGAAGTCGTCGCTCTCAAGGCTCTTCATGGCTCTGATCATATAATTAGCTATGTTGATAGCTGGGAGGATAAAGGATACCTCTACATCCAGACTGAGTTCTGTGAGGAAGGTAGTCTTGATGTATTTCTATCTCAGGTAGGCCTGAAAGCTAGGCTTGACGACTTTAGGATATGGAAGATCCTACTAGAGTTGGCACATGTAAGTTTGTCTACACTCGTTATATACACACGAGAATTAACTAACTCCTTTTAGGGCTTGAAACATATTCACGATACAGGTTTTATCCACCTGGATTTGAAACCAGCAAATATTCTCATCACCTTCGAAGGTGTGCTGAAGATTGCAGACTTTGGCCTTGCCACTCGTTGGCCTGCTGCAGCTGGAATCGAGGGTGAAGGTGATAGAGAGTACATTGGACCAGAAGTACTGATGGGCCGATATGACAAGCCTGCAGACATATTCGCTCTCGGGTTGATCATGTTTGAAATTGCAGGCAATGTTGAGCTCCCAGATAATGGAGTCTCGTGGCAGAAGCTCCGAAACGGGGACATGAGTGATGTTCCAAGCCTGACATGGAGCGGAGAAAGCAGCAACATCCTCCGTGATGCCTCGGGCAATCCACTAGTTGAATCATCAATTGGAAACCTGTCTTCATTTGACGATTTCGACAAAGACTGCCCCTCACAGGATGTTTCTTCCAACTACTTCCAGCTGGCTCAGCGAAAGGGCGCCCCTAGTGCCCGCAGTGGGGAACTTGCAGAGCCGCCAGCGTTTATGGTTGATGCAGATAATGACCAAGCTCTCGATAAACTAGTTGGATGGATGATATCCCCTAACCCTCCAGACCGTCCTGTTGCCGATGAAATCCTTCAGTCCTTCGGGGTACAATGGGCCGAACAGAGACGTCGAGCCGGCGCCACGATCTTCGAAGGGAACTGGGGACCGGCTGACGAGGTACTTAACGAAGACGCCGAAATGATGGACGTCTAAATATGATGGATACAAACACCTTCGTCACTTTCATACTGAAAACCAATACTTCAACGGATTCTTTTTTTTGTCTTTCCTTTTTTTTCCAACAATTCTTCGCACCAGCTGCGCGATGAGCAAGCCAGGGGTTACCAACGGGGACAATTATGGGAAAGGAGTTTTAATTTGGGCAAGGCAAGGCAAAGCTAGGAGTTCTCCCTACTTTTTTTCTTCAAATATTTGGTTTGTTGACCATCCATCTCCTTTGTAAAGGGACTCATATTTTTCTTATCATCCTTTTCCTTTTGCTTTTTTCCTTTGTCGCACCTTTCTTTTGTGTTATACCTATCTATCTTACCAGTGATGTCAATCTGGAAAGCGTCTGAAAGCACCCGCATTGCATAGCAGCATGATATTCTGAGTTATGATGGATGGTTTTGTTTTAATAACAATGTATACTACGGATAAACTAGCTTGCGATATTTTAGAGATGGTACTTTTACCTGTTAAAGTAATATTAACTTTTTCTTCACTGTCTTCACTGCTCTACTATCTAATAAATGTTTTCTTTTTC